CCAGTACGAACAAACAGGATCCTCACCAGTAACAACAGACAGCATACTCACCAGTAACAACAGACAGCATCCTCACCAGTAACAACAGACAGCATCCTCACCAGTAACAACAGACAGCATCCTCACCAGTAACAACAGACAGCATCCTCACCAGTAACAACAGACAGCATCCTCACCAGTAACAACAGACAGCATCCTCACCAGTAACAACAGACAGCATCCTCACCAGTAACAACAGACAGGATCCTCACAAGTAAGAACAGACAGCATCCTTACCAGTAACAACAGACAGCATCCTCACCAGTAACAACAGACAGCATCCTCACCAGTAACAACAGACAGCATCCTCACCAGAAACAACAGACAGCATCCTCACCAGTAACAACCGACAGCATCCTCACCAGTAAGAACAAACAGGGTCCTCACCAGTACGAACAGACAGGATCCTCACCAGTACTAAAAGACAGGATCCTCACCAGTAAGAACAAACAGGGTCCTCACCAGTACGAACAGACAGGATCCTCTCCAGTACGAACAGACAGGATCCTCACCAGTACGAACAGACAGGATCCTCACCAGTACGAACAGACAGGATCCTCACCAGTAACAACAGACAGCATCCTCACCAGTAACAACAGACAGCATCCTCACCAGTACGAACAAACAGGATCCTCACCAGTACGAACAGACAGGATCCTCATCAGTACGAACAGACAGAATCCTCACCAGTACGAACAGACAGGATCCTCACCAGTACGAACAGACAGGATCCTCACCAGTACGAACAGACAGGATCCTCACCAGGACGAACAGACAGGATCCTCACCAGTACGAACAGACAGGATCCTCACCAGTACGAACAGACAGGATCCTCACCAGTACGAACAAACAGGATCCTCACCAGTAAGAACAGACAGGATCCTCACCAATACGAACAGACAGGATCCTCACCAGTACGAACAGACAGGATCCTCACCAGTATGAACAAACAGGATCCTCACCAGTACGAACAGACAGGATCCTCACCAGTACGAACAGACAGGATCCTCACCAGTACGAACAGACAGGATCCTCGCCAGTAAGAACAGACAGGATTCTCACCAGTACGAACAGACAGGATCCTCACCAGTACGAACAAACATGATCCTAATTAGTAAGAACAACAGGATCCTCACCAGTAAGAACAGACAGGATCCTCACCAGTATGAACAGACAGGATCCTCACCAGTACGAACAGACAGGTTCCTCACCAGTACGAACAAACAGGATCCTAATTAGTAAGAACAACAGGATCCTCACCAGTAGGAACAAACAGGATCCTCACCAGTAAGAAAAGACAGGATCTTCGCCAGTAAGAACAAACAGCATCCTCATCAGTAAGAACAAACAGGATCCTCACCAGTAAGAACAAACATTATCCTCACCAGTAATAACAGGATCCTCACCAGTAGGAACAAACAGGATCCTCACCAGTAAGAAAAGACAGGATCTTCGCAAGTAAGAACAAACAGGATCCTCACCAGTAAGAACAAACGGGATCCTCACCAGTAAGAACATACATTATCCTCACCAGTAATAAGAAGATCCTCACCAGTAAGAACATACATTATCCTCACCAGTAATAACAGGATCCTCACCAGTAAGAACATACATTATCCTCACCAGTAATAACAAGATGCTCACCAGTAAGAACTACAGGATCCTCACCAGTAAGAACAAACAGAATCCTTACTATAAAGAATAACAGGATCCTCACCAGTAAGAACATACATTATCCTCATCAGTAATAACAGGATCCTCACCAGTAAGAACATACATTAACCTCACCAGTAATAACAGGATCCTCTCCAGTAAGAACATGCATTATCCTCATCAGTAATAACAGGATCCTCACCAGTAAGAACATACATTATCCTCACCAGTAATAACAGGATCCTCACCAGTAAGAACATACATTATCCTCACAAGTAATAACAGGATCCTCACCAGTAAGAACATACATTATCCTCACCAGCAATAACAGGATCCTCACAGTAAGAACATAACATTATCTCACCAGTAATACAGGATCCTCACCAGTAAGAACATACATTATCCTCATCAGTAATAACAGGATCCTCTCCAGTAAGAACATACATTATCCTCACCAGTAATAACAGGATCCTCACCAGTAAGAACATACATTATCCTCACAAGTAATAACAGGATCCTCACCAGTAAGAACATACATTATCCTCACCAGCAATAACAGGATCCTCACCAGTAAGAACATACATTATCCTCACCAGTAATAACAGGATCCTCACCAGTAAGAACATACATTATCCTCATCAGTAATAACAGGATCCTCTCCAGTAAGAACATACATTATCCTCACCAGTAATAACAGGATCCTCACCAGTAAGAACATACATTATCCTCACCAGTAATAACAGGATCCTCACCAGTAAGAACATACATTATCCTCACCAGTAATAACAGGATCCTCACCAGTAAGAACAGACAGGATCCTCACCAGTAAGAACATACATTATCCTCACCAGTAATAACAGGATCCTCACCGGTAAGAACATACATTATCCTCACCAGTAATAACAGGATCTCACCAGTAAGAACATACATTATCCTCACCAGTAATAACAGGATCCTCACCAGTAAGA